TTGCAGTTCATTTGTCATCCTGTCCCTGTTTTCGGGTTTCATGTTACAGGAAGCAACTCGACTCAACTTCTTTATTACAGTGTTAATTATTAGTGTATAATTTCACGTAGCAATCTTTCTGTTGACAAATTTCCTGTCATTTTTGTGCAATTATTTGCAGTGATGTTTGTTCTGTTCAGGCTGTTTTCGTTTTCAATGAGATTTTGCGGTCTGCGGTTCTCAATCTCAGGCTACCCTATGACCGAATAAGAGCAGCCTTCTGCGACTTCTTGGCCTGTTTTCCAATAATACCTGGGTTATTAGGGACAAACTATTATATTTTTAAGGGAGAAGCATATGGAACAAATGGAAAAAAAATCATTTGATCTCACCGATCCTGAAAATGATACAAAGGGCATCCTGATCGTCAGCCATTATTTGAGGTGTGTCGCGACGTTAGAAAGCAAACAGAATTATAATTTGAACCTTCAGGTTATAAATGACAACTTTCCAGCACAGAAATTCCAAAAACGTTCTCGCTAGTGGAATCAAATAGGAACAACTGAAGCGTCCAATAAAACCCAAATACGGTAATTGTTGACTTCCGTAGAAATCTTTTTACGTCACGCCATCATCGGCCAATCTTACTTGCATGACGTCACCAGAATTTACACCTCGTGAAACAAGCTACGGATATAGACGACCGAGTAGTTTTTGCCTATTTGCTGTAGTTTGTGCAGTGTAAAGGATGGCTGAAAGTGACCCAGGTAAGGTTTAATTGCAGGAGCAGTAGTGTAAGTATTTATGAGCTCTAAAGTTTCTAACTTAACGAAGTTAGCGGGCTCTCTTTATCGTCTTCTGTTTCGCATGTTAATTCGATGGCGGTCGCTGAGAATTACACTGTAGATATCAAGCTATTTCGCCAACGATTTTGGAAACGCCTTAGGAAAATAAACGCGGCACTGAGTGAAAAGAAGTAAAATTCAAATAGTATTATTTCGACTGTGAAGATGTTGTGACAAGATTTGAGAACGAAGTTAGTGTTTTCTCGCACGTTTCTGTTAGTTGCCAGATAGCTAAACAACACAGTCAACAACTAGGTAATGTGTTTGCACTACCGAGTAAATGTTGGAGAGGAAAGGCGCTTTTTATCCTTAAAATGATCGTTACAGGGACTGTATTTCAATTAACCAAACACCCACCATAGTTCGATAAGTACGATTTCCGCTTTTACGGAAACCAAAACTCGATCGTTCTAAATATAATAAGCTTAGCCTTTTGCGAAGCTCGATTATGATCTCGAAGGGCAACTTTTCATCAAAACATGTCGTTTATTTATGGGTCCCCTTGTACTATCTTTATTAGCAAAGGCTGTCAGCATCAAATATAAACTTTAACACAATTTTGGGTGGAGGAAAATATTGAAATATTGTTCGTTTACTTCCCAATGCTTTTCATCTTCGAAATTCGCATGCAAATTGCGTGACGAATATATCGAATGTTCCTATTGGAACAACAACGACAGTGGGATTAGTACACACAAAAAGCATGGATTATCAGAATTATGTTTAATTTTTGGCGAGCTAGATGTTTGTAATCATCGGGTGGTTTGCAGACACTTTGACGTCAAAATTGTCCCGCCCTCCGGGCTTGGTTCGGATCATGATACAGTAGTCTAAGTTTGATTTTCGATATACGAGGGTTTAGTTTCTTTTTAAACAATAGTTTCTTCGTACTTTTATTCATTTCATTGGTAGTTAAGTATTCACCTATCAGTCAGATAATTTTACTGTCAGCAAGAATATCATTTTTAGAATATCTGAATGTATTTGATTAGCTGCTTCTAGAAATTTCTTAATTTATTCGGACTTATTGCTTGTTTTGTTATTGTTGGGTGAATATGCAAGTGTATATGTATGTTATTTTATAGTTCGGCACAGTCGCTCGATGTTTGCTCTCTATCTATCTTTATGCTACAGCATCAAATATTTTGAAATGACATTGATCTAATGAGGTATTTTGGGGTGAGTCCTGGAATAGGTAGAATTCTAAAATTAATTTGTTTCTAATTAAAGTGTTTTTAGAATATTTAGATATTTAATCTGTCTTCATTTCAAAATTTTTTTTACACGTTTTTCATGATCTTAAGACAAAATATTCCCTGCAAAATTGCTATATAATTATAAAGAGGGGTAGGGCTTGCAAAGTGTACATGTAGCTAGAAAATCCTGGGTCTGGATAACTTTTGATCCAATCTCGAACTTTCAGAATCCAGTGTCATTTTTGTGTCTCTTGGACTGTCTTGGTAGTCTCAGTCTCCAATTTTCAAAGAAGGCATTTTGGCGAGTCTCTGGTTTTACTAGTTACTCTTCACCCGGCCTTCATTATATGTAAATGACAGCTAATTTTGATATGTCTGTTAATGTTGGTGTGTTTTGCAATCTTGTTGATACTCAGTTGCCAATATCAGCATTTCTTTCATACTACACATGATTGATAAAAGAAATCATTTATAATATTACAAATTTGGAAAACTGTGACATGCAGACTTTCTTTCTAACCATACTAGATTTTGTCTGTAACAGTGTGTTTCATGCTGGAAACTGGGAAATATTGGAAATATCAAAATTATTAGACAATTTTGAATTCCTATATTACACTTTTTCATGATGTTTCATTGTTAAAGACCTCTTCTATCTTAATTTTGAAAGCTTGTAGCCTATTAAATACACCGGATGACAATTAGGTATTAATATAATAGCACTTACATAAAAACCCATTTGCAATAGGATCCTAAGCTTTGTGTTATTGCTCCTGATTACTACAATCCGAAGTTCAGTAGCTACTTTTATTTAAAATATTGACCTTTTAATAGCAGCAAATTGAAGCACTTAACCTTTAAATGCCTGAAATGGCAAGAATTTGTAAGTTAGTAATATGTGAAAATCAGGTGAATATCAATCAAGTGTACATGTAAATATGGTCCTAGATTATATAATATTAGATTTAAATGGCTATGGGAGGTATAGTGGCCCAATGGTTGGTGTGTTGGATTCTGGATGGAGCTTGCCAGAGTCAAAACATTGTGTTTTTGGAAAAGACATTACTCTCCAGAATCTATGAGTAACAAGAAATTAAAGGTTGAGGGTAACCTTCAGGTGGGCCAGCATCTCATCCAGTGGGAGCAGAAATACTCCCAGTCACGTTTTGTAACAGAACCAGAGATAAGCAATAACCTGAAGGGCCACCCGTCTAGGCTTGAACGCAAGTGTGCCACATGTGCCTCTGGACTGTATTTTCCAGTTCAAATAATAGTTGAATGTCTGAACAATTTAATTTGTGATCATCATTTCTACTGCAGAAATATATATACGAACCAAAGAAACATTCAAAGATTAAGCCACAAAGAATAAGTTTTAAGTACAATTATCCGCACTGATTAGACTTTTATTCTCCTCATCTGTCTGCTTATCAATGCACATTTAGTGTCGTAAGGAGGAATATAATTTTGATCCTGATGCTCGAAACTGAAATATGGTCAGTTGCTTAACAGCTCTCTGTTGTATCTACTTGATAATAATAGCCACGTAATTTATTATTTTTTGTAGATCTTTCAAACTCCTTTGGTGGAGCCATACTTCATGAGCCCCAACCTTATGTACCGTCAAACCCGATCCATGAAAATGATATTGAAAGACTTCTGTCAGTGGAGAGCGAGGTGATGGAAGGATCATGGTCTCGTGTGAAAAAGACAAAAGATGCTGAAGTCTGGAGAAGGGATTCTAATGAGGAGGGATTTCCACCAATTACAAAGGTATGGATTTTATGATGATTGCTTTCAGTGTAAAATTGCATTATTTTTGAGCAGTTCAATAACTTGAAATACAATCTTGCATTTGCAGTACACTGATGTACGCAGAGCTGTGCACATCTTGTACATATATAATTTTTTCAAGGCAGCATTAAGTGCTGGCATTGTTGTCATGAGACATGTATTTTTACATCTGTTTTAATGCCAGTCTTCGCTTTTTTCCAAGGCTGTTCTACAACTGGAAGATGTTCCTTTCAAGAAAGGTTAGTAACAGTAACTTAAAGTACATTTCTAGTGCACTGACTAGATGCTTCATGGGGTGATTAAGGAGAATAAATTTATTTGAAGTTAGCTGTTGTACCTCCATGCACAGGCAGTCCAAGCTAGAGCTGTAAGTGATGGCCATCTTGTGTAATAGTGAAAAGATTTGACTTGTTTAGAAATAACTTGCACAGCGTTTTTCAAGAGAGCAGGTCTCTTCCCTTTAAATGAATTAATAGGATATGTAGAATTGATGGTTTTTCCTGAAATTCGGCTAGAACATACACTGATAAATAAGAAACAAAACTGACAATGTCAGTAAATCATTATATTTTAACTTGTTTTCTAGTGGTGGCCTCTCATGCAACATGCTTTGTGAATTGTTTGACAGTGGAACTTGACAGTTAAAAGATAATCAGTAGAAATACAAGAAAATGCAGACATACAGATTGATTGTTATGAAGACGTCACTGATCATCGCAGTGAAACATGTACACACGACTTAAGCAGTTGTGTATATACATTATGTAACTGCGATGATCAATCGAGTCTTCATATCTCTCTCCACAGTTCAAATATATGATCTTTCATACATTCACCTGTATTGCACAGCTACTTTGCATCAACTGTTATTTTGGCATTAATGGCTTCTGCGTTACAGAACATAACTTTATCGCATTCTACATTTCATAACCTTTCTATTGATATATAGTTTGTGGGGGTTTCCATGAAATTAGCGCATGGACAATTTTTTTTAGAGGACACCCGTGATGGTTTGGAGTGATGCCCTATCTTACTTCCATGGCGTATTTGTTGTCTAATGTGTGAACCCTTTTTCCTCTTCCTAAGAGAAAGGAAGTGATACATGTAACTCACTAAAACTGTGTCAAATCAGTGGAAATACAAACGGACAACAAGCAATGCACAACAACAACAACAACTTGTAACAACAATATAATTACTACTCCAACTATTAGTAATTATTAGTAATTATTACTAACAAAGGCATGATAAACTATGTATGTGAACCTGGACATTGCACAGACACGAAATTAATCTTGGTGGGTCAGGCCAAAGATCTAGTATATGTCTGCTGTCAGTAAACATTAGACAAATGTTATAATCCAATCTTGCTTTGGACAGATCTTGCTTTGGATAGAGCAATTTATCTTTGGCTTACCTTGTACCTTTGTGCTGTAGTACAAACCAGAACCTAAACATGTATTAATTAAGTGTCTACAAGATGGTGAGTTGTTTACATGTAGTTCAAGCCCTGAGGAAGAACAAACCATAAGGAACATGACATTTATATAAATTTATTTATTTAATTGTTTTTCATAATATTTTGTTTCAGTGGTGAAGCTGATGACAGACTGGAAGTTGCGTCAGGAATGGGACAAGACTGCAGCTGTTGTGGATGTTTTGGACAGAATAGGAAATTTCAAAGTGGTTTACAAGTAAGGAAACTAAGGTTTTTGCTTGACATTCTGCAGACCCTACATGTTCCTCACCATCAGATCCCCTCTGCAAATGTACAGAACCAAATCAGGGTATTATGAGTGTAGAGGCAGTATCAACAAAAATGATATGAGTGCAACTGTCATGACTGTCATTGACTGAGATGAGTGGTGGCTGAATTGAAAATGCTGATGGATATAACATGGCATGTTTTCTGATACAGTTCTTGTGCCATCAACCCTACACATTTCCTTTTGTGTTTCCTCTCTGCAAAGCAACAATTATTTTTAAAACTTAAATTGCCATTCTCCTTTTACAAGGTAGGGGAACTGCTAAGGGCTTTCAATGGGCTAGTGAATTTTTCTTGGAAATTGCTGACAATTGCAATGACCTTACTTAAATTATTACAACAACTAACAATAAATTAAATAAGTTACAACTGTATAAACCTTAGTCTCCCGTAAAGGACATTTAAATCTAGATGACTTGACTGTACAAGCTCTTTGACTATGTAACGTAAATTCTGATCAATACATTATTTCATCAGCCGCCTGAAGATGCCGCTGTTTTGTACTAAGAGAGATGCTGTGCTGGCCTCATTAGAGCGTTATGACTCAGACCAACACTGTTATATCCTGGCACTACGCAGTACTGAGCATCCTCTTATTCAAGAAACGCAGAAGTCAAGCTTTGTGAGGTGAGTCAGATTATCAGCAATTAATTATAAATATTAATTATCAATTAATAATTATTATAGGCCATACATGTCAGCGTTTACCAACTGGTCATAGCATTAAGTGAAGGAACTCAATAACAGCTTAACACTGTTGAGGAACTCAAAACAAACCCAGGAAAGCTACCATTGGGCAAGGACCATGTGTAGTCAAATATGGGAAAAATTGGAGAAGATAAACTTGGATTGCATTAAATTTTTGTATACTTTTATGATTAGTTTGGTACTAGACAGTCACATTACATATTAATTACTAGGCCCCGTCTTTTTTCAAGTTTATCTCCTGTTTTATCAGAATCATTAATTTCACAAATTATGACAAGAAATCATCCTTGTTTGTTGTGTGACCTTGACTTTGCCAGTAAGAGAATTTTGTTCTGCCAGTGTGGAGTTTAGAATTGGAATTGTACCGATGTTTGAGTAAAGTTGACATAGATGTAGTAGTACCATAAATCCTTGAATTAGTGCCTCCCCTTGAATAAGCATGCCCTTCCAATAAACGCCCCTCCTACATGTAATTTATAATAGGGGGCTCCCCTTGAATACACACCCCCTCCCCTCCCCCTGTTACATAGACAAGCACTGAGACAACAAAGGATGTATAGTTTGGGTTATGTTCAATCACAAGCAAATGATTATTGACTCATTCAAGTACTGCGCATTGACTGTGGCAACGGATAGTAGTGAAGATCTGCTGATTCATTGCCCTAAAGCCTAACTAATGTGCAGCAGGTCTAGATCAGCTAAAGGGGTTATATTGCGTTGTTCTTCAAGAGAGAGAAGATTCTTCTTAGACTTCTAAGAGGCTGACACATACATGCATTACAAAAAACCCATCATATCTGGGAAAAATTAATTAAGCACCTGCCTCGTGTAAATGTCTCCCTCAAATGAGTGCCCTGGTCTTCTCCTAAATTTTAAAAAAGTGCTCCAGATGCAAATTAGAGGATTTAGGGTATATGAAGGGATTCTCTGGAAGGAGGTGAACTGTCTGTAAAATTTAGGTGTCCTCAAGCTGCAGAATCAAAGAAAAGGTGTGTTCATGTGTGCATGTTGTATTGCCCACAGGGCTGAGACCATCCTTTCAGGCACAATAANCCGAGTAGTTTTTGCCTATTTGCTGTAGTTTGTGCAGTGTAAAGGATGGCTGAAAGTGACCCAGGTAAGGTTTAATTGCAGGAGCAGTAGTGTAAGTATTTATGAGCTCTAAAGTTTCTAACTTAACGAAGTTAGCGGGCTCTCTTTATCGTCTTCTGTTTCGCATGTTAATTCGATGGCGGTCGCTGAGAATTACACTGTAGATATCAAGCTATTTCGCCAACGATTTTGGAAACGCCTTAGGAAAATAAACGCGGCACTGAGTGAAAAGAAGTAAAATTCAAATAGTATTATTTCGACTGTGAAGATGTTGTGACAAGATTTGAGAACGAAGTTAGTGTTTTCTCGCACGTTTCTGTTAGTTGCCAGATAGCTAAACAACACAGTCAACAACTAGGTAATGTGTTTGCACTACCGAGTAAATGTTGGAGAGGAAAGGCGCTTTTTATCCTTAAAATGATCGTTACAGGGACTGTATTTCAATTAACCAAACACCCACCATAGTTCGATAAGTACGATTTCCGCTTTTACGGAAACCAAAACTCGATCGTTCTAAATATAATAAGCTTAGCCTTTTGCGAAGCTCGATTATGATCTCGAAGGGCAACTTTTCATCAAAACATGTCGTTTATTTATGGGTCCCCTTGTACTATCTTTATTAGCAAAGGCTGTCAGCATCAAATATAAACTTTAACACAATTTTGGGTGGAGGAAAATATTGAAATATTGTTCGTTTACTTCCCAATGCTTTTCATCTTCGAAATTCGCATGCAAATTGCGTGACGAATATATCGAATGTTCCTATTGGAACAACAACGACAGTGGGATTAGTACACACAAAAAGCATGGATTATCAGAATTATGTTTAATTTTTGGCGAGCTAGATGTTTGTAATCATCGGGTGGTTTGCAGACACTTTGACGTCAAAATTGTCCCGCCCTCCGGGCTTGGTTCGGATCATGATACAGTAGTCTAAGTTTGATTTTCGATATACGAGGGTTTAGTTTCTTTTTAAACAATAGTTTCTTCGTACTTTTATTCATTTCATTGGTAGTTAAGTATTCACCTATCAGTCAGATAATTTTACTGTCAGCAAGAATATCATTTTTAGAATATCTGAATGTATTTGATTAGCTGCTTCTAGAAATTTCTTAATTTATTCGGACTTATTGCTTGTTTTGTTATTGTTGGGTGAATATGCAAGTGTATATGTATGTTATTTTATAGTTCGGCACAGTCGCTCGATGTTTGCTCTCTATCTATCTTTATGCTACAGCATCAAATATTTTGAAATGACATTGATCTAATGAGGTATTTTGGGGTGAGTCCTGGAATAGGTAGAATTCTAAAATTAATTTGTTTCTAATTAAAGTGTTTTTAGAATATTTAGATATTTAATCTGTCTTCATTTCAAAATTTTTTTTACACGTTTTTCATGATCTTAAGACAAAATATTCCCTGCAAAATTGCTATATAATTATAAAGAGGGGTAGGGCTTGCAAAGTGTACATGTAGCTAGAAAATCCTGGGTCTGGATAACTTTTGATCCAATCTCGAACTTTCAGAATCCAGTGTCATTTTTGTGTCTCTTGGACTGTCTTGGTAGTCTCAGTCTCCAATTTTCAAAGAAGGCATTTTGGCGAGTCTCTGGTTTTACTAGTTACTCTTCACCCGGCCTTCATTATATGTAAATGACAGCTAATTTTGATATGTCTGTTAATGTTGGTGTGTTTTGCAATCTTGTTGATACTCAGTTGCCAATATCAGCATTTCTTTCATACTACACATGATTGATAAAAGAAATCATTTATAATATTACAAATTTGGAAAACTGTGACATGCAGACTTTCTTTCTAACCATACTAGATTTTGTCTGTAACAGTGTGTTTCATGCTGGAAACTGGGAAATATTGGAAATATCAAAATTATTAGACAGTTGACAATTTTGAATTCCTATATTACACTTTTTCATGATGTTTCATTGTTAAAGACCTCTTCTATCTTAATTTTGAAAGCTTGTAGCCTATTAAATACACCGGATGACAATTAGGTATTAATATAATAGCACTTACATAAAAACCCATTTGCAATAGGATCCTAAGCTTTGTGTTATTGCTCCTGATTACTACAATCCGAAGTTCAGTAGCTACTTTTATTTAAAATATTGACCTTTTAATAGCAGCAAATTGAAGCACTTAACCTTTAAATGCCTGAAATGGCAAGAATTTGTAAGTTAGTAATATGTGAAAATCAGGTGAATATCAATCAAGTGTACATGTAAATATGGTCCTAGATTATATAATATTAGATTTAAATGGCTATGGGAGGTATAGTGGCCCAATGGTTGGTGTGTTGGATTCTGGATGGAGCTTGCCAGAGTCAAAACATTGTGTTTTTGGAAAAGACATTACTCTCCAGAATCTATGAGTAACAAGAAATTAAAGGTTGAGGGTAACCTTCAGGTGGACCAGCATCTCATCCAGTGGGAGCAGAAATACTCCCAGTCACGTTTTGTAACAGAACCAGAGATAAGCAATAACCTGAAGGGCCACCCGTCTAGGCTTGAACGCAAGTGTGCCACATGTGCCTCTGGACTGTATTTTCCAGTTCAAATAATAGTTGAATGTCTGAACAATTTAATTTGTGATCATCATTTCTACTGCAGAAATATATATACGAACCAAAGAAACATTCAAAGATTAAGCCACAAAGAATAAGTTTTAAGTACAATTATCCGCACTGATTAGACTTTTATTCTCCTCATCTGTCTGCTTATCAATGCACATTTAGTGTCGTAAGGAGGAATATAATTTTGATCCTGATGCTCGAAACTGAAATATGGTCAGTTGCTTAACAGCTCTCTGTTGTATCTACTTGATAATAATAGCCACGTAATTTATTATTTTTTGTAGATCTTTCAAACTCCTTTGGTGGAGCCATATTTCATGAGCCCCAACCTTATGTACCGTCAAACCCGATCCATGAAAATGATATTGAAAGACTTCTGTCAGTGGAGAGCGAGGTGATGGAAGGATCATGGTCTCGTGTGAAAAAGACAAAAGATGCTGAAGTCTGGAGAAGGGATTCTAATGAGGAGGGATTTCCACCAATTACAAAGGTATGGATTTTATGATGATTGCTTTCAGTGTAAAATTGCATTATTTTTGAGCAGTTCAATAACTTGAAATACAATCTTGCATTTGCAGTACACTGATGTACGCAGAGCTGTGCACATCTTGTACATATATAATTTTTTCAAGGCAGCATTAAGTGCTGGCATTGTTGTCATGAGACATGTATTTTTACATCTGTTTTAATGCCAGTCTTCGCTTTTTTCCAAGGCTGTTCTACAACTGGAAGATGTTCCTTTCAAGAAAGGTTAGTAACAGTAACTTAAAGTACATTTCTAGTGCACTGACTAGATGCTTCATGGGGTGATTAAGGAGAATAAATTTATTTGAAGTTAGCTGTTGTACCTCCATGCACAGGCAGTCCAAGCTAGAGCTGTAAGTGATGGCCATCTTGTGTAATAGTGAAAAGATTTGACTTGTTTAGAAATAACTTGCACAGCGTTTTTCAAGAGAGCAGGTCTCTTCCCTTTAAATGAATTAATAGGATATGTAGAATTGATGGTTTTTCCTGAAATTCGGCTAGAACATACACTGATAAATAAGAAACAAAACTGACAATGTCAGTAAATCATTATATTTTAACTTGTTTTCTAGTGGTGGCCTCTCATGCAACATGCTTTGTGAATTGTTTGACAGTGGAACTTGACAGTTAAAAGATAATCAGTAGAAATACAAGAAAATGCAGACATACAGATTGATTGTTATGAAGACGTCACTGATCATCGCAGTGAAACATGTACACACGACTTAAGCAGTTGTGTATATACATTATGTAACTGCGATGATCAATCGAGTCTTCATATCTCTCTCCACAGTTCAAATATATGATCTTTCATACATTCACCTGTATTGCACAGCTACTTTGCATCAACTGTTATTTTGGCATTAATGGCTTCTGCGTTACAGAACATAACTTTATCGCATTCTACATTTCATAACCTTTCTATTGATATATAGTTTGTGGGGGTTTCCATGAAATTAGCGCATGGACAATTTTTTTTAGAGGACACCCGTGATGGTTTGGAGTGATGCCCTATCTTACTTCCATGGCGTATTTGTTGTCTAATGTGTGAACCCTTTTTCCTCTTCCTAAGAGAAAGGAAGTGATACATGTAACTCACTAAAACTGTGTCAAATCAGTGGAAATACAAACGGACAACAAGCAATGCACAACAACAACAACAACTTGTAACAACAATATAATTACTACTCCAACTATTAGTAATTATTAGTAATTATTACTAACAAAGGCATGATAAACTATGTATGTGAACCTGGACATTGCACAGACACGAAATTAATCTTGGTGGGTCAGGCCAAAGATCTAGTATATGTCTGCTGTCAGTAAACATTAGACAAATGTTATAATCCAATCTTGCTTTGGACAGATCTTGCTTTGGATAGAGCAATTTATCTTTGGCTTACCTTGTACCTTTGTGCTGTAGTACAAACCAGAACCTAAACATGTATTAATTAAGTGTCTACAAGATGGTGAGTTGTTTACATGTAGTTCAAGCCCTGAGGAAGAACAAACCATAAGGAACATGACATTTATATAAATTTATTTATTTAATTGTTTTTCATAATATTTTGTTTCAGTGGTGAAGCTGATGACAGACTGGAAGTTGCGTCAGGAATGGGACAAGACTGCAGCTGTTGTGGATGTTTTGGACAGAATAGGAAATTTCAAAGTGGTTTACAAGTAAGGAAACTAAGGTTTTTGCTTGACATTCTGCAGACCCTACATGTTCCTCACCATCAGATCCCCTCTGCAAATGTACAGAACCAAATCAGGGTATTATGAGTGTAGAGGCAGTATCAACAAAAATGATATGAGTGCAACTGTCATGACTGTCATTGACTGAGATGAGTGGTGGCTGAATTGAAAATGCTGATGGATATAACATGGCATGTTTTCTGATACAGTTCTTGTGCCATCA